TCAGTAGATTTGTGTAGAAATGGACGAAACATAAGTGGCTAATATAATTTCAGTAATTTGTAAGACGTTGAGTGTTCTGGTGTCAAAGATCTGCAAGGGTGAGCAGCAGTTAGCTGGCGGCAATGGCTGCCATCGGTGTGAATGGTTAAATCGCCATTGATAACCGGACTTCTGCAGCTTGGTGTTTTCAACTCATACGAATATATGAACAAACTATGAATAGAATTATACAAATACACATAGCTTTACTGGGTTTTAGAATTTGATGACCCTATGCGCCAAACTCTTTTCGTTCTGACCGCAATGGCAATGGACGTGGTCAAACAGCTGAGACGATTGGCTTTGCTCCAAGCTGCAGGAAAGCAGGTACCAAACGGGCGTCACTCTTGATTTCTGAAATTCGTCTTAGTTGTATCATTGTTAACCCTGTTTCAAGGTGGATTTCACACCTAGTATCGATTTGGCCAGGAAACTGCGTAATGAGTTGAACGATCGCTTCCTTATTGTTCGATCTGAGAAGGAAAATGAGAACAAGTATTGTGTGGCCGATCTCGTTCACACGGTGAGTGAATTGCTTAACGACGATGTTTCTCTTCGTCTACCATTTCATCATTCAGGTAAGAATTCTCGAGAGAGACAATCGCACTTTATATGAGAACGTGAAAACTTGGCAGAAGGAGTACGAGGCTCTGGAGAAGCAACATGTGAGTGAACAGATGTACCATCTAGGAATGTTTTCAAATATGTGCTTCAGGCAGAAAATCCTGAAATTGCGGAACGGATTGCCAGTCAACTTCGCAACATTCACTCTGTGATGGGCGAATTCAGACGAACGTGCGGTCAGCTAAAGGAACCATCCAACGGTGGCAAACACAAGAAGGGATGCCCCGACTCAGTGACAAATTCCACTTGCCTCAAGTGGCTGCCACAAGTTTCTTCCGTTATTCGTTTAGTTTATTCGTCTCTCGGCTTTCTATGTAACAATACTGGTATCACTTTACTCATTCCCTTCTTCACTTTGTGTTTAATGTTCTGTGCAATTATTCGTCATTGATCGTTTTAATGATGTTTTACCGATCTATGTAATTTAAACAGATGAAGTTCTCTTACCATTAGTTTTTTTTTGTTCTCTATCTATACTCCAACAATAACTCATGCGGGGAGGGGAGGAGAGATGTTTCGGAACTCTATAAATGGATTTCTTCGTGAACTTTCTGAAATCGGACCAGCGTGATGATTGACCCTGGAGCCCACTTTCACTTACAAGTGGGGTTTTTAGGGCAGGCCGTTTCCTTTTCGCTGAACGGATCCCTAGATTTCAAAAAAAAAGTCGAAAAAATTGATAAGAATGGGCGGTTTTTACAGCAGTGACTTCAGGACTTGCACAGTACTTCATAAATATTGAAGGGTGCTGATAAAAATGGTATCGAAAACAATGTGAAAGCCCACTATTGAAGTGCTGTCAGTGGTAGTGCTAGAAAAAGAGGAGGGGAGGGGGGTTGTAAGCGTTGTCGCATGTATCGCTCGAAAGTGGTAATACCAGGTACGATAGAATTCCAAACAGAGTCTCATACGGATTAGTGGTCCCTCCCATTCCCCTCCCCTCCCCTCCATCTCCCGAGCCACTTGAAGCGTCTTCATAAAGAAGAAGTAGAAATCCATGCGCACAACCACAATTAAAGAGGCACTGTTTTGTTGTTCACTAACAAGGGAGGTCTTTCAGGGCAAGGTGCGCTTTTTGGAAACGGTTTAGTACATGTTGTAGGGACGCATGTATGGACCACAAAACCATGTTTCGTTTTCGCTGAACGGTTTTAGTAGTACCAAAAAAGTGGTGAATAATACTCTTGATGGTTCAATCCCCCGCGGCGACTAAATTTTGCAATCAAGGTTGGCGGCCACTTGTTGGCTTCAAAATGGTCCTGACGATGAATTGACATCTGATTTTGATATTTAGCGCGATTTGGCACCAAACCGTAGGCGCCAACCCAAATGCAAAATTTAGTCGCCACGGGGGATCGAACCCTTAACAGTACCTTATGCTTCTTTTTTGGTACTGCTATAACCGTTCAGCGAAAATGAAACATGGTTTTGCGTTCCCTACAATATGCACAAAACCGTTTTGAAAAAGCGCACCTTGCCCTGAAAGACCTCCCTTGTAAGTTTTGTCACAAACTTACGTGAAGTATGGTGTGATGTCTGTGCCCTAGCAAACACTTTACTTGACGCTATTTAGGGTTACGATGTCAATGAACTACATGTCAAAGCTGATTTCTTCTCAACAAACCGATTTAAAATTTTTACCCTACAAGATGTTACATGCAGCAGTATTCTATCGATAAACGAGAAACTCGAAGTGTGGAGCTACCCAAATATGCGAACTCGGACGAGTTCTACGATCGATGTGGGTTGAGCCAACAGCCGCCAACACCCACGTCCAGCAATGCTGACGTGTAGTTCGTCGCTCTGCGTACTACCCGCCCGTGTCTCGATCACCTGGCTAATTCTGACCAAACTCTGACCCAAAGACTTCTTGCATTGCGTTCATTCTCATTTATTTTTCCATGGATTATTTCGTGGAATAGTTAATGCGGCACTATGCGAGACACAAGGGCGTTAAGAAGGTGGCGCAGTTAAGGCTGCGCCAGACAACTTTTTCTGTAATAAGTGGGACTAGGCTTTAGGCAGGGGAGAAGGACTCCGGGCTTGGTGAGCAAGTTTCATTTCCCCGTAGTTCCTGTTCCTCTCCCCGGCTTCGTCTTAGGCGATGTGCCTGTACTCTGTGGTGGCGCCATTATTCCTACTGACCGTATGACCTACAAAATAAGAGGCATAGTGTCAAGGATTGTTTGTTTGCTCAGTTTAGTTGGTCGAATTGCTGTCACAACGGTTCCTTCTCACGAGAAGAGATGTTTATCAGAAATTATTAGCTTTCAGATGACAGCAAAGTATGATCACATAGACGATCCAACGGGTAAATCCAAAGCCGACTCTCAGCATATCAACGTTTTGACAAGATCTCATCTAGTTGAAGCTTTTCATTTTCTTATATGCGCAGGTGGTATTCTTCTGTGTTACTTCTATTTTGGAATTCAGCAGGAACGGATGTGAGTTTGATTCATTATGCCTACTTTTTCATGAGAGCAGTTTTCAGTTAATAAGTGTATGCATGTTGTCCGAGTAAATTGGGAACAAGCTCTAATCGAATGAGACGTAATGGAGTCGTAGTGGTATCGCCCCTGCTCCACCATCGCCCCTCTTTCTATCTGTGAAATTACTCGCTTTCCATTATGGAGTTGTGATGCATATAGCCTCGATCATGCTTCCTGTGGAACTCATCATAACCTTTTACATAACTATCTATATAGCACCCGTATACTCCTTGTTCACAGTAGAGCTCTTCCTCTTTCTATCTTCCCACATTAATCCCCTCGCAGCCCGGGACTTTCTTTTCCTTGCGCTTCACGCCTTCCTCTGACTTCCATTATGATGTTAACACCTCGTGGAGTGGATCCATATGCACAAAAAGATTGTCTTATCTAGTAGAAGGTGATGTCAAAATCAAGGCGCTTTTCTCCTGCTCAGTCTCCTTTACCCTCCCTTGCACTTCCACTGGAACTGTTGCACCATGAGGAATGAGCGAGAGTGTGTGAATGTTTATATGGCATTTGGGGGTGCTATCACAATCATGTCATCACGAAACATTGATATCGGAAAAGCTGCGGGCTTGCAGCTTTCTTGTTGTTGTTTTTTTATTTTTTCTTACTCTTCCAACATTTTGCGGACGGACTTACGGACGGATGGTCAGATATTCCAAGCTAGAAATTTGTTGTTTGAGATATAGAGTGGTTCTTTGAGCTCACGGTTCCGGTTCCCATTGACCTTGGCTTTTGGAATCACGACTTTTGGGGGCCCAGATCAAATAATTTTTGGTGTGACTCTCACGTTGTGACTGCTATGCCATTGCGGATTACCACACGTTGGTTCTGGACAGGTTGTTACGAACGATGACTTTTGCACAGCTGTTGCATTCTGTGTGTTTTTATGAGTTCCCACGTGTTAGTGATTGCAAGCTGGTGCCAGTGGCAGGGCATCTTCAGAAGGAGATGGAGTTTCTAATCCCAAAAGCTGGACCTAAGTAAGTAGTGGTCCAGCAAAGTTGTCGAAGCCAACTGAATAATAGCTAGTCGTTGGTTAGAACCTAGAGGTAATACTCTCGACCCATGCTTACTAAAACACTTAGCGATCAAGCTCAAACTGAGCTTTTCATGATTTCAATGGAAATCTTATTTTAGGCATGTTCTTGCGCTATAGACAAATCCTAGACATTGCTTGTGAATTCCATTAATGATAGAAGTCGATTCTGATGTCATTTGATGCTATTGAATAAATTTTATTGCAGCGTGCAAGGAAAATATGAAAACGGAGAGAAGTTCACTTACACTCAAGCTTTGGTGTTCTTCCTATGTGTAGCAAACACAATTTTTGCCTGGGTTCTTCGTCCCAAGCGTGACGTCGATACGGTTCCCACAAAAATGTACGGCGTTTGCGCTGCTAGCTATCTTGGTGCCATGATCTTGCAGTAATCAGGCACTTCAGTATTTACCGTATCCCACTCAGGTTAGAGTGTTTACTCCCACATTATTTTGATTTCGAATTTTTGAATTAAAACGCTCTATTATTCAGGTTCTAGCAAAATCCTGCAAACCAATTCCTGTGCTGATTTTTGGCGTTCTCTTTGCTGGAAAGAGGTACTCATGGAGAAAATATGTGTTTATTATCATGATCGTAGTAGGAGTGGCGATGTTCCTCTATAAGGATAAAAAGTCATCCACCGAGAAACAAATAGGAATCGGTGAAGTGTTATTGGTAAGTAGATGCTTATCAACATTATGATAATACCTTATTTCCCATTCTGTTGTTGGCATTTTTCGAAATTCTTGTACTTATTCATTTTATTATATTATTCCACTCTTAATTCGTATTTCTTAAAATTCCTGGGTGGGTATTCCTCTCGAACTTTTCAACGAAATACAATCCTATCCTAGAGAGTAATCTGAAGGTCTATGTAGGTTCACGATGTTCTGCTTCAGGGGTTTTCCTTCTCCCCGTTGTTTCAAAACCAAAGTCGAAGTATCGAATCAACGCAAAAAGCGGCTCAAAGTTTCTATTCATTTAATTTGAAAATCGCTACCTTTCCCCGTGCTGCTAAATAAGTTAAGAAGTGCAAGATCCTTGATAATTCCTTGCGTGTTAAAAGTTCAATCGAACTCAAGAAAATGCAAGGAAAGCTTTGAACTAGCGTCATAAATACACCTTCCATTTCTTACGTCAAGTCCTTTTTCGTTTCGATAAAGCTACTCTTCCGTGCGCTCTTGACAAATTGTACCTTACAATTTATTTCGCTCTCCTTTTTATGGTTTACCTCGCTTGACCTTTTCAACGGTGGTATGTAAGGCCCACATATCCCTTGGATATCTCTGCAGTCTTGGGTTTCGTTTTAAACTCAATAACTAAATAGGTTTATTTTCAACAGTTCAAGCTGAAGCAGTTAACAGTTAACGGCAAATTTTTCATTGTTTTTTTTTTTGCTTGAGAAAGCATTGAAGCCCCTCGAGTTGTTTTAACTCACACTCATCTAGCAACTTTTCAGTTATTGTCATTAACTATGGATGGGACTACTACATCAATTCAAGATAGAATCAATATAAGCTATAAGCGGAGCACCCTCAGTATGATGTTCTTCATGAATTTTTTCTCAACAATATATCTAATGATCGGGTGAGTTGCTCAGGAAAATCCAAATAGTTGCTCACTCTTTGAGTAATATTTACTCTGCAGGTTATTCGTCACCGGAGAACTT